AAGTCGAGATGTTACTGGTGAAGGAGTGGAAAGGATGATTACATTGGACTCTGAACATAAAAGGGAAGATGAGCCCGAGTGCGGGGATGAAGAACTTGTAGTTGTTCAATTGAAACCAGAATTATGCCAATGAAGAAACGACCCAGCTGATGGATGGGGTCCCCTCTCCCCCACTCTTGGAAACGAGGTGTGTCTTAATGAAGATGGTGGGAGATGAAGATTTTATGTGGTTGTGTGTTATGTTAGTTTTTGTTTTATGTTGTTTGCATGTTTTACATTATTATTATTATTTTTTTATTATTATTATTTTTATGTTATGTGTTGTCTATATATATTTGTTTGGGTTTTGAGTCACGGAAAGAAAAAAGAGGGAATAGTTAAAATTAAAAATATTAATGGGGGTAATTAAGGTAATGACTTGGAATGTTAAAGGTACTGGGAATCAGATTAAGAGAAGACATTTAGAATTTAAGATTAAAAGAGATTCTCCTGACATACTTTTTATGCAAGAAACTCATCAGAAATCTGAGGATATAAACAGGATGTATTTAAAAGGGATGCAGGTTTATGAAAAAGCTTTTGGGTCCTCAAAATCTAGAGGTGTTGCAACATTAATATCAAATAGAGTCCAATTTGAAAAAAACAAAGTAATAGATATTGATGGACGATATTTGATAATAACAGGATGTATTAACGAGGAAAAAATAACATTAGTTAATTTATATGTACCAAATGTGAATCAAAAAGATTTTTTGAATAAGATTACTGATTTTTTGCAAATTGAAAGGGTAGGGAAGGTAATTATTGCTGGCGATTTTAATTTAATTAGAAACCAGATGGATAGTACCAATCCTACCCGCTATGGTGGAATAAGAAAAATGGGGATACTTGATAATTGGATGTTGCAAAATGGTGTAGTAGATGTTTGGAGAGAGATTAAAGGTAATGAAAGAATGTATACTTTTTACTCAAAGGTATTTAACTCATATTCAAGAATTGACTATATTTTTGTATCCAAGACTTTGATGGATAATGTGGATAATATGGATGTTGGAATATTTAAAGACTCTGACCACGCAGAATTGTTACTAGAATTAGATATGTTTTTGGAGAAAAAAGAAAATTGTTGGAGATATGATGAAAAATTGTATAAAAACGAGGAAGATAAGAATCGTATTCTTAAGAAATGGGAAAAAAATTGGGATTGGAATGATAATGGGGAAGTCAATTATGGAACAGTTTGGGACACAATGAAAGCAATTTTTAGAGGAGAAAGTATTAAATTATCAAGTAGGAAGTATAAGAATTATAAAGTAAAAATAGAGGAAAAGAAGAAATTGATAAAAGAACTGGAAAATAGATTTCTATTGACTAAGGATAGGAAATTATGGGAGGAACTTAAAAAATTGAAAAATAAACAAATAGCGGAAGATACAGAAATAGTTAAAAAAATTTAAGCTATTTAAAAAGAGAATTTTTTGAATATGGTAATAAAAATTCAAAATTATTAGCAAGAATGGCGAAAGATAAAAAAGAAAAAAGAGAAATAGGTGTCCTAATAGATGAAAAAGGTAAGAGATGTTATAAAAAATTAGAGAAATGTGAAATTGTTAAAAAGTTTTTTCAAGAATTATATCTTAAAAAAGAAATTGTAAATTGTAAATTAAAAAATTTCTTAGAAAAATATGGTCAGAAGAAAATTGATAATAAATATAAAGAAAAAATGGAAAAGGATATTACCTCTGAGGAAATTAAAGATGTGATTCAGAAGCTAAAACTTGGAAAATCTCCAGGTGAGGATGGGTTACCAGCAGAATTTTATAAAGAGTTTAAATAAATTTTGATCCCAAAACTACAGAAATTGTACAATAAGATATTACATGGAGGTGATATTCCCATGTCCTGGAATAGAACAATTATATCCTTAATCCCGAAACCAGGTAAAGATTTAGAAAAGATTGAATCCTATCGGCCCATTTCCTTGATTAACCAAGATGCTAAGATATTTACTGCAATTGTAGCAAATAGATTGAATAATTTTATAGATAAATATATAAACCATAATCAAGTAGGTTTTGTTAAAGGGCGTTATATGTGTGATTTAGTTAGAAGAGTATTAAATGTTATTGATATCGCTGAGAATAATGGATAAGATAGGTATTATTGCCTTGGATATTTTTAAAGCCTTTGATTTTATACAATGGGATACTATAAAAGAAATGATTTCTGCATTAGGATTTGGTAATAAATTTATTCATATTATTTCCAAATTGTACCAGAGGGGTATGGCAAGAGTGAAGGTAAATGGTATATTTACACAAGATATAAATTTGGAAGCAGGGACGAGACAGGGTTGTCCCATCTCCGACCCTATTTTTATTAGCAATGGAAATTTTAACAACTTTGATTGAAGAGGATTCAGAATTAATAGGCTATAAAGGCATCAACGTTAATTTATGTGCAGATGACACTCTTGTCATTTTAAATAATATTACAAATGATATAAAAAGAGTTCAAATACATTTGGAAGAATTTGAAGATATGAATGGTTTGAAAGTAAATTGGGCAAAATCAGAATTATTAATGGAAATTGATAGGGAAAATAAATTAGAAAAATTACAAAATCAATTTGGAATTAGGATAAAGGATAATTTAAGATATTTAGGTATTATACTTTCACTTAAAATTAAAAATTTAAAGAAACTAAATTATGACATAGTAATAAAAGAAATTGAAGAGAAAATTGGGAAATATAAAAAACTAAAGTTATCTTGGTTTGGTAGAGTAGTTTTATGTAAAATGATGTTACTTCCTAAATTTAACTTTTTATTCGAGATGCTTTTAACCGATTTTTTTAACCGAGAAGAACATTGAAGTATATAAAAAAAAATTAGATAAATTATGTAACGGGGATAAAAAACCAAGATTGATTAAGAAAATGTGGTATCAGAACCAAAAACAAGGTGGTTTAGGAATTCCAAAATTATTAAACTATTATAGAGCATTTAATATAAAAACAGTAGTAAAAATTTTAAAAGAAGATGTTAAACTTTGGGGTAGTTTGGAAATGAAGGAAATAAAGAAGTTTGGTTACAAATGGTTTTTGGAAAATTTTAAAGGTAAGGTTAAAATTTGTAATTATTAGTTAAATAGTTTGACTAAAAATTGGGACAGAGTAGCAAAAAAATTAATACCAGACGTATTGTATTTAGGTAAACTGAAAGAGAATTGCCCAATGAAATTAAATAGTAATAGAGAGAGGATCATAATAGAAGAGAAAGTGGAAACAATTAGTGAATGGTTGAAATTTATAGAAAATGAAATGAGGAAAGAGGAAATTTATGGAAAATTAAACATTAATTGGTTTGAAAGAATTCAAATGAATAAATGGAATAGGAAATGTAAAGAAAGGAATGATGAGAGTAGAAAGGAAACGGAATTTGAAATTTTGACATCTCGAATAATAAAAGATGAAATTGGGCCAAAGGGATTAGTTAGTAAAATTTATAAAATTATTAATTTTGATAATAATTCACAAAGGGTAATGAAAGAGAATTGGGCAAAAGAACTGGGTATTGAAATTTCTGATCAAAATTGGAATATGAACTGGGTTAGTAGAATAATGAGGACATTATCAATAAGGATTAAAGAACATAACTATAAAGTTATTTGGAAGTGGTATTTGACCCCAATAAGACTTTTTCAAATGGATAATAAAGTGGATAAAATGTGTTGGAGATGTAAAGTAGAACTCGGGACATATGCTCATATGTGGTGTAAATGTAATGGGGTTGAACTTTTTTGGTCTAGGATAGGAAATGAAATATTTGAAATGATTAAGAAGAGGGTCAAATTGAAATTGGAAACCATATTATTATTGATATTGAATGAAACAACATTAACAACTGGAGAAAGAGAATTGGTGAGGATTTTGGTTATAATGGGGAGAATTATAATTGCTAGATATTGGAAATTAAATGTTGACTTAAAATTAGAAGAATGGTATAATGAAACATGGAAATTTGCATTAAATGATAAATTGACTTGTGATATTAAAATTAGAAGTGGTATATATAAAGAAAATGTTTTTTGGAACACTTGGCAACCATTTGTGGACTTTGCACTTGGGAGATTGGATGAATCGGCACCAGTACCTTATCAAAGAGATTTCTGGAAGAATTGAAGACTTCAATTTCCTAAAATTTCCTTTCCGTTTGTATAGCACGCTGGGGGGGGAAAAAAATTCTTTCTTTATTATTGATTTTTGTATTGAATTTTTTTTTCTTTCTGTTATTCTTTAACAATAAAAATATAATAAAAAATTAAAAAAAAAGAAAAAAAGAAAATGCCAAATAAATACGTAATGGACAAACTCAGTTTCAACACTTCCAGAAATATTGATGAAGAAGGTTTTCAAGGAAATTGTAAACATGGAATCTTTATCTCCCATCCTCATGTTCTTTTTCAGAACATCCAGGGAAAATTGTCAACTTCTCATAATAAGGAAACATTCAATTTAAAAAAAAAAATCATGGAGAATAATAATAGCATTCCTATAGCACCGTGATGGCGACCCTATGGCATGCATGCGAGAGGTAGCATGCAGCGCCCTCTCTGTGGGCACATGAGCCATCACCCCAGCTCAGTTCTGCCGCGCATGCACGTGTGCCTCCCGGCTAGTCAACTGGTCTTCAGGTCTCTGCTGCGCATGTGGGGAGGTGCACATGCATGTGGGGGGTGCATGTGCATGTGCAGGGGGATGGGGATGGGGCACATGCGGGGGACTGTGCGGGGGTGGGGCGCATGCATGGGGTCATGTGTGCATTGCATTTTGGAGGTTCAGGCACACGGGTGTGCATTTGCACGCATGCGCGCACACTTTGTGCACTCGACCCGAAAAAGGTTAGCGATCACTGCTATAGCAGCATTTCCTCTATAGAAAATGTTACATTAATTATACTCATATGAAACCACTGCTAACTAAGCATTTATTGAAGTACCTTCTTTAGGACATTCTTCATCACATATTTTCGCAAACGTTTTTCAAGTTCTTCATCTGGACCCAACACAGAGGCTATTCTCAAAATCTCTGGCAAGGAAAGGTGAGAAAAAAGCTGAGACTATGAGACACAATGTTGATGAAACACAACATTGGTATATTTATGTATTGTTGAATTTGTGCACTCTATGCTTTTCTGCTAATGTTCAGAGGGGCAGGGATGTGATTCTGGCATCATATGTGAATGTGTGAGTGTGTGAATGTGTGTGTGTGTTTGTGTAAATTGTGGTAGTGCCATCATTTTCTGACTATTTTTTATTTGAAAAGAGTTGTGAATCCTCTCATATTTTCAATTTAATATAGAAGTCTTGACTATATAACAACCATAGCAGTTCTGAAATGTGGGCAGCTAGTACAGTCCACTTTTCACTGCCCCTTCTATATATTCAAAACACAAGTAAAAGAAGTTCCTGGTTATTTTTATAGCTGGTTAGTTGTAGTTGGGAAATGGAAGCAGCATTCTACTGCCAATCTTGTGTTGTTAGTTATATATATTTGTTCTTGATATAAATAAATCCTGTTATATTTTAATGGGCAAAGCAAGCTATAATCTCTGATAAATTTTAGAATGAAACTTTCCTACATCATTGTAAGACTGAAGACTGAGATGTTATTTCAATTAGGTTAGACAATCAAATGCAATGGAATAATAATAATAAATGAGCTGAGAAAAAACTCCAAACCTCAATGTTCCTAAAGAACTCACCAAAACTGTCACAAATGTGATTCTGATTCAGATAGTCTGTACATCTCTCAAAGAATTCATCAGTATCGAAGTCAGGGACATTTCGAATGTATTTAACCTGGAAATATATAATGTTTTGTCAACTATCTATAGTCAATGTCAATCATTTTTCTAACATGAGATACCAAGAATATGTTGTTATGTAAATTATAGTAGCAATTTAATCAGCCTCTTAAACACAGGGATGATTTTTGATACATATTTTTATTAGTGTGGTGAAATGTAGTCCAGATTCCCAGGAGGGTGGGACTGCACTGCATTCTAGAGGACTAAGAGACAGTGAAGTTTAGATAGTTTGGTTGGGAGGAAGAGAGCCATATCAGCTGCTTCTTCAAATGGAATGCTTCTTTAAAGGAAGGTGTACTTGTGTGATACAGTAAATCTCAAAAGGGATACATAATCCTACACCAAGACACAAACAAGATAACTATCAGTAGAAGTGTAATTGTTGATGAAACTTTAGTGTGTTCAAAGTTTCACGAAGTAACACAAACATAGCCTCCCCCCAGTGGTGGGCTGCAAACGGTTTAACAACCGGTTCTGTGAGTGCATGCCTAACACGCTTGCACGCAGAGTTCAAAATACAGCAAAGTGAATATTGATGATAGGAGATTCAATTTTTAGGGGAATTCATAGCTCCCATTTTTCTTTTTGCAAAGAAATGTACCACAAGATGATCCTCTATTTTCTTTGTGGTTTAATTTGTCTAGGGGAGGGAGGTATATAGTCTCCTTGGAGCAAAAATCAAAGGTGAACTGAGTATCTAACTAAAATAATCAATCTCATAGATTACTACCCCTTTTTCCTCCTACACATGTGGACCAATGACACAACAATGAATCTGAAAACAATAACAAGAGATTATGAACAGATAGGGAAGAAAGTTAAAGAATTAGGAGCACAAGTGGTGTTTTCATCTATACTCTCAACAAAACGCCAACATCCAATGAGGGCGCAAAGGATTTTAGAAATGAACCACTGGCTTAAAAACTGATGTTGTCAAAAGAATTTTGGCTTCCTAGACCATGGTCTGCATTATCTAGATGAAGAGCTACTGGCAAGAGGTAGACTGCACCTCAGAAGAACTGAGGGGGGCGGCAGCCATGGCGGCGGCCATGAAGCTGCGACAAACTGGGAAAAGAATTGTGCAGGAGGAAAGAAGAAAGAATGAGGTACTTTGAAGCCGGGTGAGTGACACCAATCTTGGCAGGAAGCAACACTTGAGTATGGACTTTTATCAATAAGACTCCCAGCTTTAAATAGTAGCTGTAGATTTGTGGGGCATGAAGATCTGACAAAGTAATAAAAGGAGACAAAGACCCATTAAGAAATTTGCCTTGGTACAGACTTGGTAGAATTGATTATTAATATACTAGAAAATTGGGTTTTTCTTTAAATTGGAATTGATTTGATCCTTGGAAAAAGCAAAAAGCAAAAAGCGATAACTATGGATTTTAACATCTTTAAAAGTTAAAAGAAGAGAGACAAATGGATGGTTACATAATGGATACAAAATGGAGATTGCTGTGATTAAGCGAAAGTGTGGATTGTAGAGACTCGCCTTTTGCTTGAAAAAGAAATATTCTGACTTGCTACTTGGTTTGGATTATTTTGAAAATAATTATGGACTTTTGGATCTTGGAGATTCCTATTCTGTCTATGGGTGATTTGATAAAGAAAGAAGAAATATAATGGAACTATTAAAATTGAAACTAACTGGCGTAGGAACAAAAGATGTGGCGCAGGAACAAAAGGGAAGCTGATGGATTTTATATGGAACAGATGTTACAAAAGAATGAAAGTGACTTATAAAGTTTCAAACATGGAAATATGGATTTTGAAATGGAATGCTTATGGACAGATAGCGAAATGAAGAAATAAAATAGATAAAATTAAAATGTAATGTTTAAATGTTCAAATGTTTAAATGACTATTAAATATAAATAGGAGGTGCTTATAGAATAATAAAGATGGAGAATAAAATAAGGTAATTAAAATAGAAAATTGATGTAAAGGTGGTTAAAAATGAGGTCTTTATAAAAATACAAGAATATATACTAATATGAGATAAACCTAAGAGAACGTATTAGATTATGAGAGAATAAGAAGAGAATATGCCTGATATAATATGTTTTAATTTTAAATTGTAAACAAAGTTGAGAATGGTAAATATGATTAAATTTGAATGGTTAATGTATTATTGGATGATAAAACAAGATATACAATTGTGATTGAACTTAATGTATGCTAGAAATGATTAATATTAAGAAATATGTTGGAAGAGTATGTTAGGAAAAAGTTAAATAACAACATATTTGTTATTTAACAAATATTATTGTAACAATATATATTCTTTTCAAATATATTGAAAAGAAAACAGTTAAAATAAGATATGCTGGATATCAGCCAAATAAGAGTTGGAGAGGTGGAGGAGAATATGCTGGAAATCAGCCAAAACAAAATATGCTGGAAATCAGCCAAACAATAGTTGGAGGTATGGAGGAGAATATGCTGGAAATCAGCCAAAAAATAGGTGGAGATACAGAGGAGATTATACTGGAATTCAGCTAAAATAAAATGTTCTGGAAGACAGCCAAACAAATAGTTGGAGATATAGAGGAGAATATGTTGGAAAATACCTAAAATAAAACGGAGTGAAAAAGAATATGCTGGAAGACAACTAAAATGAAGTGAAATGAGTTTGAGATGAATCTGTGTAAATTGAAATGTGTATTAGATGACAAATTTAAAAAAAAATAAGTGTAATTGTTAAAGTTTAAGACTTAAAGATTTGATGAAATGGGTCTAGAGATCAAGGAATATAGATAAAATTTTGATTTATAAGTTGAAATAAAAAGAGAGTTGTACGTATTTGGGAACTAAGATTTGTGGTGATAAAATAATAAGGTAAACACTTAGATCAAGGTGTTAGAATATTTTTTTAAATTTGTGTTTTTGATTTTTATGTTTAAAAGATGTAAGGGAGGGAATTAAGCTAGATAGAATTTTGATTGATAATTTGATATAAAAAATGAGTAGAGTTTATTTGGAAATTAAGTTTTTGGTGATACAATAGACTGGTTTAGAATAAGATGTTAGAATTTGTGTTAAAAATTTGAACAAGAATTTGTTTTGATTTTTAATTTTAAAAGACGTAACGGGGAAATTGGGAATAGAACTTGTTAAAGGAATGTAAGCGATTGTACCTATCAATGACCAGATCAAGATTTCGTTCTTAAAAGATATATTTTATGTTTATGTTTGGAAAAAAAATTAAAAAATATTTTTAAAAAAAGATTACAAAGTTGGGGTTACAATGTTCCTGAGAGTGCCTACTTATTTTGGGTTTGCTAGTCGGACTGTTGACACCAATCACACAAAGAGGAAGGGAGTAAAGAGAAAAAAGAAATAAAAAAGAAAAACATAATGAAGTAGAGAGTGAGGGAAAGTATGGAAATCCCAGTTACAAAGTAGGACATATAAGAAATATATCCAAGGCCCATAAAGGAGTCTGTATGCTAATGCTCAAAGTTTAGGGAACAAACAGGGTGAACTTGGAAGTATTAGTACATGAAGGTGGATATGATATAGTTGCCATTATTGAAACTTGGTGAGATGAAACTCATGACTGAATGTACTGATGGAAGGATACAAACTATACAAAAGAAACAGACCTAACAAAAGAGGTGGAATTGCATTATATAGAAAAGATCACTACATGTCTAAAGATATACAGAAAACCAAGGATGAAAACCTCCTAGAATCCATATGGTTCAATATAAAGAGGGGGGGGATGACATTGCTATAGGTGTATACTACAGGTGACTGAACCAAGCAGAAGAAATAGATGAACTCTTTGCTAATCAATTAACAAATGCATGTAGAAAACATGCCACAGTAGTAATGGGAGACTTTAACTACCCTGATATCAACTGGGAGACAAACTCTGCAGCAAGTGGGAGATCGAACAGATTCATAACCAACTTAGCTGACAACTTTGTCATCCAAAAGGTAAAATAAGGAACTAAAGGAAAAACTGCACTGAACCTAATTCTTAGTAATAGAGAAGAAGTGATAGAGGGAATTGAAGTTGCTGGAACCATGGGCGAGAGTGACCACGTCATACTGGAATTCAATAGAATATAATCCAACCAGTGTATTAAAGTTTAAAAGAGCTGATTTTTCCAAACTCAGAAAGAGCCTAAGCAAAATTTCATGGATAAAAATCCTAAAGAGGAAAACAACTTAAGAAGCATGGGAAACACTGAAAAATATAATCATAAAAGCACAGGCCAACACAACATCACTAAAAAAAAGAAAAACAAGAAATCCAAGAAGAAATTAGCATGGTTGCACAACGATCTCTCTGCTAAACTGAAAGACAAAAAGGATAAGTATAAAAAATGGAAAGAGGGACATATAACTAAGTCAGATATCAGCAGATAGCCCAGAGCTGCAAAGATGAAGTCAGGAAAGCAAAGGCTCAGAATGAACAAAGATCTGTAACAAAAGTCAAAGATAATAAAAAATGTTTCTTTCCACATATAAATAACAAGAAAAAAGTCAAGAAACAGTTGGTCCACTAAAGAGAGAAGATGGCAAGGAAGTAACAGGCAACAGAGAGAAAGCAGAACTGCTTAACTCATTCTTTGCATTGGTCTTCATGCAAAAACAAACTATAGCCCAACTTACCAAAAACATAACTGTAAAAGACAGACTAAAAATTAAAATTAAAATAAGCAAGAAAATGGTAAGAGAACACCTGTCTGATTTTGATTAATATAAATCACCAGGACCTAATGGATTACATCCCAGGATTCTGAAGGAGCTGACAGATGTTATCTCAGAACCATTGTATCTTTAAAAGATCTTGGTGCACGGGGAACTACCAGAGGATTGGAAAAGAGCTGATGTGGTTCCCATCTTCCAAAAAAAAAAGGGGGGGGGGAACAGACCCAGGAAATGACAGTCTAATCAGCCTAACATCAATATCTAGGAAGATCCTGGAAAAGATAATGAAAAAAACAGATCTGTGAACATCTAGAAACAAATAAAGTTATAACTAGTAGCCATCATGGGTTTGTTAAAAACAGATTATGCCAAACCAATCTTATTTCATTCTTTGACAAAATGACTAAATTAGTAGACAAGTGAAATGCTGTGGACATAGTATATTTATGTGAGGGATCTCACGAAGAACGATGGTTCATTGAGGGCGCTTCCAAGAAAAGGTCAGCATGCAAGGATGCAATCAAATTAAGTCTTTATTTAGAAGTAAAAATAGAGTAAAATAAGTTTCCAGGCATGGAGGCATCCATGCCTGGATTGAGCCCATGGGTCAGTCCCATAGGAGAGTAGAACAAGAGCAGGGAAAAAGGGCAAAAGCAGGGAGCAGCCCCTGTGCAGGGGTTCTTATAGGGGCCCCGACCCCTCCCTTACCCATGTGTGTGAGGGGGCTGGAGGACCATTAACTCTCCCCAATGGGGCTGCAGGGGCTGGAGCCCCTTGACCCACCAGTGGGATCAAAGGTGCCTCTTTGCCCCCCATCTGGTGGCCTTTGAGAGACTGCCATGGTGGCACAAAACACCTAACAATTCCCCTTCTTGCCAGCCAATGACAGGTGATGGTGAATATGTCTGAGAAAGTCTTTGGGATGACCACGACGCTGTTGATGGATGCGACATGCCCAATGTCAATTCTCTTTGGTGGGACCCCCTTGTTGGACCGCTTTGACCTTCTGACCTCCTGCCACTCACCACCCTTTTCCTCTGCGGGTTCTTCGCCGACTGGCTGTTCACGACCAGGATGTGGAGGCCCTCGGTCCCAGGCGTTGGGCATCATGGGCCTCTGGAGCATCGCTGGAGGCGAAGAGTCAGGTGAAGATGGCGTGTCTTCCCCCTCAGGGCTGGACGGCTCATCCTCCTCATCTGGACCAGGTATGCTGACCTCTTCATCCCGTTCCTCGCTCTCGTCGGTGGCAGGTCTGTGGTTGTCTCAGGCGGTGTCATGGTTGGTGCAGCTTTGCTGGGCCGGTTAATGTATGGGCCCAGATCATTTGAGTGGATCTGGGTCCAATTGGAGTCCTCTTCAAAGGAGGCAGATTGG